ATATCTCTGTGATGTTTTCTAGTCGTAGACTACATCAAAGAAGCTTTATAAACCACTAGGTGTAACATCTATTTATTTTTATTTGTTTATTTTTTATCATTAGTAGCTTTTGAATCTGATTTGGTGGTTCCTTGTTGTTGTTTACTGACTGATTTTGTAGTTCCTTGCTGTTGCTGAGATTTTGGCGCCACAAGCGATCCCTCATAAATGTTTTTGTACATCTCCATGCCCTAAAAGTATTTAAGTAAAATCAATTTTTAGCACCGCATGGCTTTCATTCTTCGTCCCGTTTCTGAACACACGTGGAAGTCGGTCAGGAGACCCATCGCGCGGTGAGTGCGATGTCGCAGTTTGCGTTATCTGTTCGGTGTTGCAGTCACGCAGGTATTTTTCATAACTGAGGACCCAGGCGAATAGTCGAAGGGGCCATTAGGATTGCATGTGTCGACTTGATCGCCTTCTCACCTTATCAGCGCAATTGCTAGATCACCTACCATCCTGTTCACCTATGCACTACGTACCTTTTTCGGCACTGGATGTGCGAGGGGAAGGTGCGCAGGGAGACTTCGTAGCGTAGAGAACTGAAGGCTCTCAGAACCATGACACATATTTCGGCGCTCAGGTTCTTGGGAAGGAGAGGCAAGAGGGGGACATTCAGGTGAGTGAGCCATTACTGTGCTTCGGACTAAGCCCTAGCAAGAGGAAGGAGAGCATTCATGCAATTTGTGCTATCTCTGGCGTTTGTTCCCTTTGCTAGGCTTGCTGCTAGTCTCACCTACTATCGGCCCTGTTTGAGTCCCCACCCCAAAGACACGAGCGCTCATATTCCTATTCAAACACATACTACTTACCATAAGTCTCCTCCTTGGCGTTGTGGCGTCGATTGGGGCATCGTTGTGCGGACTGAGCCTAGCTGGGCAAGTTTGCTGATAATGGAAATTGCTCAAACACCGCCACTCCTAGACTCCCCTTGAGGCATAGTCCTGGGGGAGACTATGTAGAAAGGGGCTGTATGGGCTTCCTGCACAATGATGCCCCGCCTTACGATACCTGCACCCCCTCTTTGGACATGCGAATGGTCCACAGACCTTTAAGTTCCCCTGCCCTTCATCGCGATGTGGGCCTTCCGACACCTCAGCTGCGCAATTCGAGTGAGCACTAATTGTGAGCGCATAATTGAGATCCTTTTTTCACAAGCAGGCGCTCACGGTACCGTCGAATTGTGGATGTGAATCATATTTCATTATGAAAACATACTTTTCTCACGTCTTTTCTCTCGTCTCGTCTTGGTCCCATGGATCGTTTCGATTTCTTACTTTTTCCTGACCTCACTTTGACGCTTTTTTTCTTTCTGGATTTTGCGGATTTGGTCTTCTTGATGGACGACGAACGCTGTCGTGGCGAATACAATTTCTTTCCGACGGCGTTCTCACTTGTTGCCACGGGAGCCTGCTTTTCGTTGTCTTTGGAAGGATCTTCTTTGAAGAAGTTCGTTTCAGCTAGTTCTCGCTCTTCATCCCGATCATCTCTGTCGCTTCTTTCTTCGCGACCTCGTTGTGTACGGTCAACTTTGAGTGAGGGAACCGCTTCACAACAGGTTTTCTGAAACTCTAAAATTTTTCTGAGATCACTGAATCAAACTGCGTTCTAAGTTCTTAGTCTACGATTGGAACAGTGTTGTCAGCACTAATCGATTGATGTCTGAGAGTTCGTGAATAGTAGTAAGCAATAAGGTATGCTGATAAAGAAAGTCGCACGTCGTGGGGGGCATTCACGTAAAAGAGCCACTTACAGCACTTGGGACTAAGCCTTATGGCGGTGCCGTACTTTGCGACTCCAGCGATTCGATAGAAACCTAAGTTATACATCCTTGGGCGCGAGCGGTCCGGGATCAAATCCTGGGTCGTGAGTCGCCCGGGCCAACCAAGCCTTCCATCCCTCCGGGGTCGGTTAATTGGTACCAGACTTGTCTGGGAGGATAAAAACACTGACTTGTACATCGGCTGGCCCCCGCAAGTCATTGTATAGGCCACATCGCATTCAAACGCCACTACGAATGTACAAATGGAAGTAGAATGCGTGCCGCATCCCAAAAAGGGATTGATCAACGGCAAATGCTTTATCCTTTATCCTTTATTTATACATCCGTTATCGCTACTAAGCAATCACTGGTATCACAAACAGTCTGACACCGGCTTTAGGGAGCGTTCAGAATTGGCGAATGTACGTGCGATTAGGCGATTACTCTCTAATGAAAAATATACGTATAGATTAGGCGAGCTCACCCATTGGGTGAGTAGGCAAGCAGGCGATTAGGCGATCGCTCAATAAAGAGAGCAACCAAATGGATACGTATCCTTTTCTTATCGCCTAATCGCCTAATCGGACCGTATACTTTTTCTGAATTATCGCCTCATCGCACGATTGCCAAACTCTCAAGGTCCACGGCCATGAGTACCAGTATAAAAGAGCAGTTTCGGCTTCGCGATTGACGGTCAACGAACAAGCAAAACAACGAGCCCCACAAACTCGTAACCCTGCCACAGGTAGCTCCCATACTTGGCGAATGGGCACGCCTTCGGCTGCTCGCGGGAGCTCGGGTGATGAAGAGTATGATGTAGAAGAAGGGCGGGTGTACAAAAATGTAGAACCAATGCAGTGACCAACTCGTCGGTCGGCTGAGCACTGAATCACTGGGTAGTAACTGCTGCTGGAGTGCGTAGACTGGATATTCGCCCAATCATGAAGCACGAAGTTACTGAAAGAAGGATAAACTAACTGCATCGGCCAGCACTTCAGCAAGGGTTGCCATGATGGGGAAGTCGATGCTATGAAATGAAACATACTGCCAACACTGCTGTCGTGACGTTACACAGGATGATAGAGCAGATTATCTTGATAATCAGTTGTTAGAGAGACTATGTTCTCAGAGATCACGTTCTGTCAATGTCGCTCGAATCGGGTCGGTTGTTCACGTGGTGGGGTTGTCATTCTATCAATAGAATAACTCTGAGTGGTGGGTTTAGTTCCAGTGAGAGAATTTAAGAGAATTCTTACGTAAGAGCAGCAACGACAGTTGAGCGGGAGCGGTGGCACGGAGGTAGGTGCGGTGGGAGATAGGTGGTGAAGGGGGTCGCAGAATGACAACCGTGCTGATGGTGAGCTTTTCACTATTGACGGGCAACGATGTCATCACAGCGATCACGCAAAGATTACCGAGCAGGGTCAGTGCCTCAGTAAACTGTGACAGATCACAGCAAGTCAAATCGTCTTGTTGTTCCTTTCGCTTTATTTGTTCCCTAAACGGGTCTTGAAGGCAAACGTCGCGTTAGAAGTCGCATGATTGTGCACGAATGTCGCAGTGAAGCGAAGGCGGCGACGGTAATTCATGAATACGCCGATGATCTCTCCTTTGCCTAAAGAAGGCGGCTACCACATAGATATGATGTTACGGCGCTATTGCAAGATAAGGATGTGCCAGGACGAGGATAGAAGTGTGCAGGAGCTTTGCGGAAATGAAGACTGGTAACACCCTCCAGAGTCTCCCTCCGCCCATGGCCTGACTCTAGTTTTGACAAAATGAGATTTTTGACGTGGTTTTGAATGCACTGCCACCACGATGCTCCCGGGATAATGTGATAGCGCCTTATCTAACACTTGACTTTGACGATAAAAGCTCGTGAAAGAAGATTTGTGAGGCCCTCTTAAACGTCTTATTCATTAGTGTAGCGAAATCGGGATAAGGAGTGGCGGGGGGGGGTGTTGACTGCCATTATAGACCTGTCAATAACGATGTCTGCAGCGCGGAACGCGCACCAGCACCCAAGACATCTTTCGTGGGCTTGCTGATTGTTCAGAACTGCCACCATCTTCGAACAATATCGAGATCTGCGAGAGCGCGTCTCTTCTTCTAGTTGTCAACGGTTGGTATAACCATGTCCGTCTTCGATTCCTCAACAGTTGGGTTTTATTAGGGCCTGCTGCCTCATCTCACCCGAATCTGTGGTCACCGTTGAGTGAGTGCAGTGAATTTATGTTCAACAATCACTGTATAGAGCTACCTCATGGTAAGGTCGAGGCCGTGCAGTTCTTGAAGTAGGTCGTGAGGCTCGCTTTATAATGTATAATTTTGATAATTATTGCCCACCCTCAAACAGACTCCTTCGATCTCACCTTCACGTTTCTTTGGAATTGTTCTGCAGCACTGAACAACCGACGAGACACTGCGCGTGAGAGCGAGAACATGCGAGAGAACATATGGGATTAGGAACGCAGACAATCCGCATGGCAACAGCTTCATACATCACCAAACACTCGCAACCAAGAACGGACAAACCCCTGCCCAGACGCTTGTCCGCGCCGAATTTGGAATAGCGAATTTCGGCATTGTTCAACGAATCGGCCAACTAGCATATTCACGAAGCGATTGCTGCCATCAACCAAGAGCTCTTCATGTATTTGATAACTATTACAGGACTCAACAGGAGGGCAACTTAGTATTTAAGAACAGAAGGTTCAGCTTTATACCATCCTGGAAACTTCTTTCAAAAACTTTGTAGCGTAATGAAATTCGAAATTCTGAGATTTTCTTCCTTCACTCCTCAGAAATCTCATGAGTTGAGATTTTCGACGGGATGTTTAACAGGATGCTTCTTTTCCTCCTTCCTGAAATCAAATTTGGATGCATTTCGAACACATCTATGCAGAAAAGGAAAAACTGAACCCACATTTGGCAATGATTGGAGGACATCTGTTCCGAGGAGTCTGTTCCCCCACTTATTTCAGAGAAATCGTCAGCCCGATGTCGCCATGTTCGAAATAATACTGCGGAATACGGCGGCAGTCAGGGAACAGTTCATGCTATAATATCCTCGACGACCGCACGCGTCCGTTATCGTCCGATCAGTGCAATTAATACGATGACATAGGGCAGCATTCTGAAACAAAATCCAAACTGCCAGTCAAGAAATCACATTTTGCGAGTTGGCGCCTCTTTAGTAGGGTAATTCTACGGGAGAGGGGGGAGTCAACTGCACGTAAGGTCACGGTTCGACAAACGGGGGGTCGATTCGGAAGGAGAGGAGGTTCTATTTGAAGTTAGCAGGGATTGTGGATTAAATTATTTGACTTAAATTATTTAGTTGGACTTGGAAGGTAATGGAAAAACTTTGAAAAACGAGGAGCATTTCAAGAAATTATGTTTGTTGGAATTCAACATTTTCCCCTTTGTTGTCAGGCAAGGTCCTGCCTAGGATGTCGCGTTCCTTTCGTTGGCTACTTGTTCAAAAAGTTCTTACGGACCCCCTTTCTCATGAATGTTCTAGACCCCTTCTTTCAAAAATAGTTTTTCCCCCAAAAAATAACGCGTCGGATGCGGAGGTGGGGGGGTCTTAATTTTCTCTCGCGCCTCGTCCCCACTTCAATTCACATTTCAACTTCTTTATACGAAGTTATTACGAGGGGTCCCCACTCATCACATGCAACTTCTTACAACCGAAGCAAGTACGACCCCCCCCCCTCTACAAACTCCTCAAAATGCGACCCCCCCTCGTTGCTACTTGTAGCAACATAGGGTTGACCCTGTTTTCCTGCTCCTGCTTCAGCTTTCGGGAATGCTCAGCGTTACAGTGTAATTGCTCTCACTCCCTGATGAGTGAAAAAAAAATATCCCCTCTTGAAAGCAGTGACTCCCCCAGATCGCAATATACGACTCGCTTGGCTAATTTTGCTACACGGTTAAATCTATTGCGAGAGAAGCATATAAGCGGAAAACCGAGCGTGGCCGTACTCCCAGCTTGCCCGGCCAAAAGTGAAGCTCGTTTTTTGCTCTCATCCTTTATTCAAGTCCTTAATGAAATAGGGCATCCCTAAAAAAAAACGCCTCTGAAAAACGCTGCGATTAGGGTCCCGGCTCTTGCAACAAGGGCATAAGAAACAAGTTGAAAAAGCCCTTGTAATGCGCCTTTTCATTCAGCTATCACTCAACGTCTTGGTGGTATCTGAATGTGAAGAACTGAAAATGGCTAGAGGCCTTTTACTGGCAAATGGCGTCACATCTCAAAAGTACATGTCCCTGATTGAAATCCCTGATGGACGGACCTGCGGCTGGCCAGGTGGGACCGCTAAGATCAGTTATACGAATACTTTTTCGCTTTTCACAGCGCGAGCTTTTTCGTTGCAGGAATCCCAATCATGACTAAATATGGACCAGGGTTCCCACACCGAATTAGTTTCGCGCTGCGAAAAACGAAACAGTCGCAGTCCTAGCGACTTACACTCGCGCGGGTAAAGCCGAACTATCCGTTTCTCGGTGTAGCTCAGTCGATACCAGGACTTCTTTGGAACGATGAAAGCTGGTTAGCTTATTGGGGATTCGCGTATCGATGCGAAGGCCAGGAGCCGACTCTGTGCACTACGAGTCTCTGAACGGAGCAGAATGCCTAAGCGACATACCAGAAGACGTACTACTTGTCATAGCGGAAAGTGCTGCCATTTTTATATAGACAACGCAAAGTCTATGTGAGACGAAAAGTCAGCCACTGGCTTCGGAGGACTTGTGTCATGTCATTAGGTTCGGTGCCCACTGATGCTATCGCACTGAAGCATAT